GTTGCATGATAGTAGCCGTGATGGTGACAGTAGTGGTGATGATGGTAGTGGTGATGCTAAACATGGTGGACATGACAGCAGTAACAGAGATGATGGAGGAGATGGTGATGGTAATGATGGTGAGAATTGGTGGTGGCACCATAAGTCCTTTTGATCATGGTGGTGATGATGGTGGCAGCAGTTAAAGTACTGATGCAGGGTCTCGTGAAGGTAGTAGTATTGATACTGACAATGAGCAGAAGCAATAGCCATAATGTGGGGACAGTGAAATGATGATGCTGTTGCAATAGATGACAATAGAATGGTTGAAATTTGCTGTAATACTAAAAGATGCATGATCATTAGATCATGCAGATAGGGTGGCAATGGTATCGGTAAGAATGGAAACAGAGGAGTTGAATGCAAAGAAAAAAGTAACACTAAAGTAAGTATTGACTGAGAGCAAAGTACACAGAAAGTAGATGAGAATGAGGGCAGCAAACAGATCAATACTGTCCAGGGTGGGATACCTACAGGACCTTACTTATACCTTCCCACCCACAGCTCTTTATTCTGAATCTTATTCTTCATGTCTATTCCATTTGGGATTTTTGCAGCACAGTAATTTCCTACCTGCACATGAAAGAAGGGAAAATGGGAGAGAAGTAAAGTAAATACACCAAGGCAAGCTCTTAGAGGCTGTATTCACCCACTCTGGGTAAGCCTGGTCATCAGGAAGGAGCTGAGGTTGCATTCCAGGGGAGGTGGCAATGCTCTACTAGTCGTATCCACCCCAACACTCCCACAGACACTAAGCCCTCCCTGCTAAGGGACATTTGGCCTGTTATGCCACAGATGTAAGTAAGTAGTAATTAAGCTCAGAAAACAAAAAGTAATTTATTGTTTTGTTTTTTTTTTTTGAATCAGTGTGTCCACAACAGTCTAAGCACAGAGTAATCACAACATCTACGGCCTCTCTGGCACCCACTGGCATTTCTGAATGAAACTCATTCCAGAGAAAACAAGTAATTTGGACTCAAGCCAATTAATTCCATATCCATTGCCAAGATTTTGGCTGAATCACCTCCATTGTCTCATATTTGACTGACTGGGGATTAAGTACAATAGGAGCAACAACTAAGGTCACCCTGCTCTTACAACTTCCTCAGTGCCTTCCTCTGGCTTTTACTGGGTTTCCAGGTGTGACACTATGCTGAGCAAGTATGTAGCTTAAGTGTGGTATCTATGTGCCCTGTCCATAACCAACTTGCAAATGATTATGACAATGATAGAGATGGTTGTGCCACCAAGGGCTCCCAGAGTGGACTCAATGACCTACCCAGCAGGACAGCATCGCCTATAATTATCACTCTTTCCTCAGCTTTTCCTCCTTCTTCCCTCAAAAGCCTGGTCACCTAATCCTAACCTGGTACAATCACCTTGGATAGGATGCTTCCCCTGCCTTTATTTAGCCTTCACATGAAGGGCACTACCATATGATGGACACTTAGCTAAGTACTAGAGGTTCATAATTAACATGCTTCAGTCCTATCCTCAAGGATTTTTTAAACCAGCAAGGGAGATGAGTTTGTAACACATAATGCAAACATAATATGGTAAGTGAGGGATTTTGTACTTTTTTAAAAAGTTAAGCTCAATGCAACATGGGCCACAGAAAAGGGATTCATAATTTATTGCCAGAAGTTTCTTAGGAGAAATTATATATAGTTTGGCTGAGAACCTCCTTTTCTTTCAAGGTTGAGCAGGAATCACAAAGCCTAAGCATCCTTTGCTATAGGGACCCACAATAGTCTTCCTGAGTTTCTCATGGAAGCTTAGTAACTCAGCTTTAATTCTAGCTTATTAGGGTCCTTAATTTTCTGCGTTCTTCAGAAACTTCAGCCTGTACTATCACCAGGATTAAAGCACCAAACCCAACAAAGTGAATTTCTGACCCAAAAGATTTTTTGAGAACTCTCTTATCCCCTTACCCCAATCCAATGCTAGTGGCCTCTATGGAGGAGGTCAACCTAGACTTTACTAGAAATTACTTTGAGATATTGTAAGCATCCAGTGTTTCCCTTATGAAATTTTCAATTTTATCAAAGCTTACCAAAGTTTTGTCTAATCTGGAGGTCAGCCATTCCAATCCAGTCTTGTATAAATAAGGAAAGTAAGATGGACAATTGGGGTTGGCACTGCATAAAATTAGTCCTTGTGCCTTTCAGCAAAAATGCATATCCCACAGGGACAGGAGGGTTTTGTCTGCTTTATCTTTGTATGGGATAACTAGATAGCTCTCAGAAAATATTTCCTGATGCTGACATTGATATAGAATTGTATGATACAGGACATTGAAATTGTTTAAAAGTATGAGCTTTGAAGTCAGACCACAACAAAGAAAAACAATTGACTGAGGCCCAGAGTTACCTTTGACTGTGTGACCTCAGTAAGTGCTTTATGTTCCTTACATCATACTCGTCATATATAAAATGTAGACAGAGCCCCACAGTATAGTGATATGCAAATGAAGTAACACATGTAGAGTATTAAACATGGTACTTAGCACATAAAAAACCTCAACAAATAGACATTGTTGTCATTAGCAATAACAGCACTGAGTAACTCAGGGAAAAAATAGAAAGAACCGAACAAAGACTAGCCAAACCCCAAAAACAACATAACCAAAGAGAAGAAGAATCCATCTCATAGACAGTCCCCAGCCCCACACCCATTAATACCTGACATTTTGTCAAAAAAGATTCTAACTTTCAGCTATATTTCTGACCCTTATACACTGTGTTCCTAGGTGGAGACACACCCCAAACTGCTATCAGTTGCCGCATTCTAATTGTATAATCCTTCTTTGAAGATTTAATCAAACACCAAATTCACTTATTTCTGGTAGTTTTCCCACATAACAGCCTGTTTAATTCTCACAGCATCATCAAAATGCAAGTGAATCAAATCTCTTTTATACATAAATACATAGGTTTGCAAAGATTAAGTAACAACTTGGTCCCACCTTCAGTAACCAAGCTTCTATCTCAACTTTCCTGACACCAATTAAATCACCACTTTTATCACAACTCAGGGCCCATTTCTAAGAATGAAACTGGATGCAGAATGGAAGAGGCTGGGGGTACTGTAGATATGATGACAGGCTCCAAGGAGACACTACAAACTGTACAGCATGCCTCTGGCCTTCTCCAAAGATGCTCTGGGTCAACTCTTGAGCCTTGAAACACTGTGTCCACAGATCTGCTTTGGCAGAGAGAGGTGGCCATGCTCTCACATTTCAGACCTTTTCCTCCCCTTAGCTGACATGGGCAGGGTTCCTGTACTACAAGTCTGCATTTCCCAGGAGGATGCTAGGAGTTTCCAATAGGAAAACAGCAAGGTCTCCAGCTGTCCTCCAATATTTTCTAACCCTCCATAGTCCATATACTTCCTCCACAGTTTCACCCATATCTAGGCACCACCCCTACTGTTATTTATTTAATATTTTCTCACGATTAACTCTATTTTTACTTAGCCATAATTACTTTAAAAGATGTATTATGAAATGCTCTCTTTGGATCTCATCCTAAGCAATAATATCCATAAAATCATAAATCTGAGCACACTTACACAGATGTAAGTATATACATCACACATGTCACAGGCATATGGACACACTTAAAACATCCTAATGCACATTAAAAGCAATGTGTAGACTCTATAATAGTAAGAGTTCTAGCAGCAAGCACACTGCTATATGCAACTCTTCTTCAATTTACATAGGATATAACAGAGATTACATGGAGTAAAATATCCTAATTAATCATGGAGGGCAATTAAATGTCATTAATAACTTAATCAGATGTTAATATCACAATCATTTTGAAAATAACCCAGAAATCTGTGTATCACCTGCCTAGTTTAAAACTTGTAAAATGCTGTCTCACTTATCTTGCCCTTTTGGGGCCAAAGAGGCTGGTAACCTCTTGGATTTGTTCAAACTATATCAGAAATTCCAGAGTTGGTTATGGGGAGAGGAAGATATTAATCTCATCAGATTCAAGCCAGCATTATTACAAATCTGCATGAAAATCTTCTATCCTTTCTACCTACCTTTTCTCTCTTCTTGCCTCCATTCTTCTTTTTTTTTGTTGTTTTTAACTTTACTTTCAACACATACTGACTCACTGCCTAATAGGAACTTGGGTTACAGTGGCAACCCTGTCCTCCAGAATCAAACAATCTCATTGGAGTGGCAAAAATAGACCACAACTTCAAAAGCTAGGCCAGCAATCTGCAAGTATGAAATGTTAATTCAATCAACCACCAGCAATCAGAGGCCTGTGCCAGGAATTTTGTTGGGCTTTTGGGATCCAAAATAGTGAACAAGACCTAGCTGCCCCTCAGTCTAGAAGGAAACAAGATCACTAAGCTGCAAGACTGAAGTGCTCTCTCAATCAGACTGTGATGCTAGAGAACAGATCCTGGAAGGGGTATTTGATAAGAGTATTAAAAGTTAAATAGATGTTAGTCAGCACTCACAGATACAAGAAAAGGCACAGTAAAGCATGTGAAGGTATTAAAAATATGGCTTTTCCATTGTTAATTTTCTTGCTGTCTGGTTTTAAAGGCCTGTAATGCTTTCATTATTGTCTTGATAAGTTTTATACTATTTTATTTTGTATGAATTCATTGTGTATGAAGATACAGACAACTATTTAGAAGAAAGCAAGACTTTATGGTAGCCACTGTTGATCTCCTATTGTCTTGCTTTGAAATCCTATGTCACTTATATTGCTTTCTTCTGATCTGCTTTGTTCTGTTTCATTCTCTTTAAAATAAAAAAAATTAATAAAATAAAGCAAAATAAATAAATATGGCTACTAAAACTAATGGTAGCTGAGACTACAGAGTGACATAGGGATGTCTGCATGACAACAGTGCTACATGAAAAGTCAGCAAACAAAATTAAGAGTTTATATAAACAGGAAGTATAAATAAAGAACAAGAAAAATACTTACCAAGGGTTGGCAGTATACCTCTGTCTGGCAAGCATAAGGCCCTGAGTTCAATTTCTGGTATTAAAAAAAAAAAAAAAATTACCAAAATTTTAATACTAACAGTATTTTCAAATTTGTAATGAAACTATTTTGTTGTTGGTGCTTGTTTTGCTTTGTTTTGTTTCCATTTATACAGTAGAAAGACCTGCTAGTGGACAAGAGAGCCAGTTCTGCCACAGGGTCTTCATTGCATACACACATACACACACATATGCACGTATATGGCACAAATTAATCCTTCCTTTTGGGTCCAATTGCAGAACGATCCAAAGCAACTTACATGCCTTGCCACATGCCTTTCTTAATCCATGTGACTATATCCACCCTTGGTAATGACACTCTGCGTACTTGGTTACCCAACCCTCCTGCTGTATTCTTCCTCCTCATACTTAGTTCAGGTAAAGAAATGCTCTTGGGAGAAAAGTTCCTAAAATGTCTCTGAAGTGAGTCGAGGCTGGCATCCAAGGAAGTGGAGGTTTACTTGTTGTCTTCTAAGAGACCCCAGACTCTTGTCATCTGATCCAATTTCTTCCCTGCCTCTGACCTGCCTCATTTCTCTGTCTCCTTTGACTAGAAAGGGATCACAGGAAGGAGGCATTACTACTCTAAAAGACAGGAATGGGTTTAGTAATGTTGACTGCATAGGTGAAGAAACAAGTTTGGGGGCCACTTCCTTGCCTTATCTCATAGATTATTGGTGTTCAGTACAGACTTGGATGCGGGCGCTGCAATAGCCCAAGATCTCAGAAGAGGAAAGATTCTGCTTTTACCCTTCAGATAGTAACAGAGGCTAACAAAACACACAGCTTCTAGCTCTGCTGCAGGGCTATTCAGAAAACTCTGGATCCAATGGCCCATATGCAGCCTGTGAGAAGGCATGATTAAAGTGATACTGAAAAACTAAAAAGCAAGAGACAGAGAACCTGGCACCTTGAAGTGTAGAGGAAGGGTGGCAAGGAAAGTAGTTTGCTGTCACTGGTTTATTTAACCTATAGTTTCTATGGGAATTTAAATCACATTCTATTCCCCTGGGCTATTAAACTAAACTCTTATCCTCTCCTTGGCTGACCAACAAATATGTATCAATATTTATTCTGAGTTTCAGTCCTGAGTTAGATGAAGATATGGAGACTTAAGGATTTTATCTCACCTGGATGATGCTCCTAGCCCAGAAAGGTAGGTGCCTAGGAACCAGACATGAATCTTGGTTCTCTACTATTTTGCTTTAGAATTATTTGAATACAGGGAAAGCACCAAATGAAGTAACTAGAGACCCCCTAACCAAATTGTAGCCATTTTGACTTTTTTAAGCAATGAGAAGGCTTGCTCCTGGAGCCATTTATTTGATTTCAACAGACTTAGCTGCTGAAATAAAGAACACATTTTAAATAATGATCAAAAATTAAGGATAATCAGCAAGACTGATGAGCAAGGTTTACTGGCCATAGCAAAAACGAGATTCAGATTTGGTCTTCAATTGTATATCTTGTTTTCTACTTGTGGGCAAGACAGATGTCATACCCGAAGCCTACTGAAGCCACAGAGAATTCCTGAAAGTAGCATTTAAGAATCAAAACTAGATTTGAAATCAAAGTGGAAACAGTTCTTACCTTGACTTGTTTTTCAGTGATCCCCATCTGATCACAAAGGGGAAGTACCTTAGTGGAGGTCACGTAACATGACATGTAATTAAAAGGCATGGATTAAAGCTTTTAGGTCAAAGATGCCAATAGGCTAAGACTAAACTGTACATGATCTTTTCTTTTTGCCATGCTGATTTGCATATTCTGTTTGCCTTAGGATTCAGTTAAACATACATAATCTCCCCAAAGGATATCTGGGGTTTGGCTGATTGGAAAAGCAACAGTTTTAGATCAGTTTTATCATACACCTGAGAGGCCTCAGGCAACATTCCCTAACTTAAAACAGGCCTGAGGAAGACAAATACTGTTCACTACTCCTCCCTGCTCATAAAGCTTATATGAGAGGCAAATGTGAGCCCTGAGCCATCAGGCTATAAAACAGCTTGCTTAACTGTGAAAGCTGGAATTTGCCATATCAGCAATTTACCTCCAGCTCCAGAGGCTAGTGTGTGCTGGTCAGCAGCTTCCTTCACCTTAGTGGGGTCAGCTACAAACTTTTACTGTCATCTTATTTCCACTCACACTGCCAGCTCTAAGAAGACCAGCTCTTATCAGGAAAGAGCCGAATAACCACAGTCTACAGTGGAAAGAATAATGACACTGATGCTTAGAGTCGCAGATTTTAGTTTTTGTTCTGCTGTGTACCTCCAGGGAATAGTTTAACCTCTGTGGGCTGAGGATGCTTTGCCAGCCTCCACAAATGAAAGAGTTGAATCTCTGTATGCCTTCTTTGGAACCTGCAGCCCAGTAATGCATAATACTATTCCAGGAAAATTGGCAATACTGATGAAGTCACCCTCTGTCTCTTGCCCCCCAAAGGGTATGAACCTGAGTGTGACAGGGAAGCCTCTCTTGTCCCATCCTATGGGTCCAAAGAGAAAAGTCAGATTGTGCATGGAAAGAATACAGGATTCAGAATCAAAAGACTTAAGTCTAAGTCCTGAATTTACCCCTAAAAAGTTGTGAAAATTTGCAAAAAATCCTTAACCTCTTCAAGCCACTTCCACATCCAGAAACGATGGTAACAAAACCCCCAAGCACACAGCACTGTTGGGAGGTTAGAACACAGTGACCACTGCCAATAAACCAAACAGCCTGTCCACACTGGAAGTGTCCAGGCCCAGGCAACTGTAGTGCTAGGTACAGTTACCTGCATACAATGATAAGCTCCCTGGGAGGTTCTGAACAACACTACAGTAATTTTTGCCCTTGGTAGAGTGAGCTCCAGGAGGATCCAAAAATCCACACATTCTGATAAAGCTCCAGGACCTGAGGATAGATAACCATATTACTGAATTTTTGGGATCATTGAACAAAACTGTTTGCACTCTCACTGTTTGAAAGTCCACTTTATATGCTTTAATTTTGTAACTTGAACAACTATTTCTAAGATGAGAATATGTAATCTATTAACTAGTGATTTCTTACTGTTTATTTTTTTAAATTTTGTATTACTTGTACCCTTTTTCTGTTTTTTTTTTTTTCTCCTTAAATAAAAAAAAAAAGAGAAAGAGAGAGAGAGTAATGAGAAGCCTGCTCCTAAGGACAGCTCTAACTTAAGAGTTATGTCACAAGCAAGAAATAATTATTACCATCTATCCCTTAAATTCTGGGAAAGGGAAAGTAATGTGGGACATCGAATTTGTGGGGGGGATGATTACAGGAAAGCTGCCAGGAGACGGAATTTCGTTACAGAGCAGTTCTCCTTGACCGTTGTTCTCCCTACTTAACATCCAGGTACAACCACTCCTTCAAACTGCTGGCTAGCAGGGCTGGAGAGGAGGGAAGTAGCCACCTTAGAGGCCACCTTGTATTTCTTGGGCCAGAACATAGAAGATAATTCTTTCTATTCCACAGAGGTGTAAAGGCTTTAATCTCACCTTGCCAACCTCCCAAGGCCCTGGTCTATGTGTATGTTATTCTTTACAAACCACCTGTTGCCCTTTTAACTTCAGTTACACAAGAATTGTATGGTTTTGGTTACATAAAGGTTTTGACAAACAGACTTGTGTCAGATGAAGCATCAGTCTGGGGCCCAGAAGGGCAGGTTTCATGTACCTCAGATCAGAGAAACAGCCTTCTGCCCCTCCCTTCCGACATGGCCTCCAACACAGTTTGTGAAGATGGTGGGGCTGTGCATCATCACGGAGCTGGGTGTCTTCATATCATCTTTCCCTCTCTCCTGCCCTAAATATGCTTGAATAAGAAGTTGAGTTCCCTGCAAAGATAATCTAAACTGCAAAGATAATCTAAATTCTCAACATTTTGTGAAGCTGAAGTTTCTCCAAAGGACTTATCTACGATTCCAGATAAGCCTCAACATGTCCTTAACACCATGGACTGCTACAACTTTCTAAGAAATCTTGTTTCCCCCAAAATAAGACCTAAGCAGAAAATAATCAGCTATGTAAACTACAGATCAAAAATGGCAGTTCCAATCACTATGCCTTACCTGCCATTACAAAGTAGCCACTGAGCAAGAGAATAGTGAGGCATAATCTTCTGCATGACACCAGCCATCACCATGGTAATGACCAGAGCTTATTTCCAGGTTAATTTTTATTTTCAGGGAAATATAGACTACACACACACACACACACACACACACACACACATAGCCTTCCTACATGAAGTCTACCCATCAGACAGATATTGAAAGAATTGTCAGAGAAAGCACAATGAAATTCTATTAGCCAATCAATGTCACTTCCAATAGGTATCCATAGATTCCCTGCAATGGGTCTGTCCACTTACATAATAGCTGGTTTGAATCTTCAGTTTCAAGCTAAACCTTCCATTTCTAATCATCTGAAAGGATCGACCCATCACTTTCAGTGAATAGGCCCCCAAAATTCCCTTTCATTCCAACAGTATTTACTGAGCACCTATTAATGCCTACCACCATACTAGTACTTTAAAATCTTTTCTCTAATAATCTTTCCCTTCTACAGTTACAGATATAGTCAAGAACCATACAGATACAGTTATAAGACAGGATCTAAGCTGTCATGCCGTACAAGCCATATATGCTAGCAAATGTATACATCAAGGTTAAGTATATAAAGGCTGTAGATATTAAAAATCTGCCATACCAAGTCATACAAAACCTCACATAATCCTACAATGGCCTATCATCTCCTAACTGTTACGATAAAAGATGATAATTATTATCCACACAGATATCCCATTAAGACTACTTCTAGTCTAGAATTACAAATTAGAAAACATGCTTGTATAATCACATCTCATGCAAGGTTAGTACAGACTGAGACGCACAAGATTTGCTATTGACTCTTCTCTGAGGCTCAGCACTTTGCATAGTGTGTTTGTGTTGGTTGGACCAATGAATAAAGACTTAAATATGGACCTTTACTAAGACCTTAAAACTGGCAGAAAAAAGGAAAGGAAATACCTTATCAATCTTTGAAAAACATAAGCTTCCAAAACCAACATGGAAGAATGAAAGCCTGTCATTCTGGAGACCATGGATAAACCTGAAGTATACTATATTAAGAAAAATAAGGGGAAAAAGGCAAATGATAACGGAGAAAAGAGAGAAAAGGAATAGGAATAGAAATATAGCTACATAGGAAGAATAAATTTTAGCATTTTATAGCATAGTAGCATAATTATCAGTTATAACTTATTATATATGTCTAATAGCAAAAAAAAAAAGCTCAAAATGAAGCTTGAAATGCTAACCACCTCTGATTTGATCATTTCACCCTGGATGAATGTGTCAATTTCTCAAATGCACAGCTAATGTGTCAATTAATAAAAAAATGCTTAAATGGATAATTTAAGATTATTAATGGTTTGGGGTCATCTGTACTTGAGAGTCTCAAATTTTAGAATTCCACAGAGAAATAACGACATCCTCAAACAATGTTATTTTGACATATAAAGTTATGAAAAAAACCACTATAGCATCTCACCTCCACTTTTATAAGTATTTTAACACAAAAAAAAAAAAATAGGAAAGCCATGATTTCAGAATTATAGACTTTCCTTCCCATGAACATTCTACCAACATCATTTTACTTAAGACGTCTACTAAGAACTGATGAACACATGGTAATGGGCCAATGTGGACCACAGGTTAGTGTGGGAGTCATAGTTCCCTTTTCCTATATGGCTCATACAAATAAATGATTCCTTTTTCTACTCATGAGATTGTTTCCCTCTAAAATCTTCAGCTTCAGAGAAAACTGCCTTCTCCAACAGATTCTGGCTTCCTTCTCTTGAGTGTTCTTGAAGGAGAGAAACACCTGGATTCAGGTGAGTTCTTGCTATTCAAACTGAAACCAGTGCTACAAGTTTCTGAAAGCCATGTTTAATCAAGATCATTTGAATTATTAAAACTCCACTATAATTAACAGTCAATTTCTTATTGGAGCAGTTGTTTCAACACATAGCTGGGTGTAATAGTTTGAATGTGATACCTTAAATAATAACTGAGTTCCAATGACGAAAGAAGGGAGAGCTTTGCTGCTCTACAAACACAGAAGTGATGCTCCCAGGCTACAGTCAACAGAAAAATTTTGAATTAACCTCCTAGGAGAAAACTTAAGCTTGTTCCAAACCATTCATAGACTCCTTTCTGGCCTTAGTATTCATGGTTAAATGAGGTTGGAAGTAAGGATGTGCAATTATGTCACAAAACAGAAAAGCCAGCATCACCTTTTATACTTTAACCATTCTCTTTCCATATGCCTACAGAATAGATATTACTATTCCTATCTGATAGACAAGCAACCAAGGCTCAGAAAGCTTAATCATTCAATAGTCAACAAACACTTGCCCAGTGCCTTCCATCTACAGGCACTGCATAAAGAGCTATGACTTAGACCAAGGTGACATAGATGGCAAGTAGCAAAGGGAGCACCCAAACCCAGTCATGTAACCTCAGATCTATTTCATTCCATAGTTACCCCCCAGGCTGAGGTCAGCGTTGCCCCAAGATATCAAAAGTCAAAGGGCCATGGCAGAAAAGACTATTCAGTTCATTTCTTTAGTCTGTACCTCTGCAAAGTCAATATTGAATTCCAATGCCTGCTTTCTACAAAGACAATTCAAAGTAGCCCCTAGTGTCATCTACAGCACTGTCTAAAACGTGCTGTCCACATCTGGGAGCTGGGGCACCTGTACGCTTACAACCCAGTGGGTAGGGCAGAAACATTCCAGCAAAGCTCTCATGAAACCCAGGAAAGAAATTGTGGCAAAAGAGAAACAGATTCTAAAGTTCTAAGGTTTCCAAACCAATAAGATAAGAAGCCATGGGATTTGAAAGGTCCCATTCCTTGGATCTACTATTGAGATCTCCAGTTTGATTCTCACAGGCTGCCTCACACATCTGGGACCTAGGCTTCAAGCTGGTTATGATATGTGACCCATTCCAGAGATTCTGGAAACGTCTGCCATCCACTCTGGTTGGACATCCCCACTGACCAGCCCACTCTATTGTTGCATCAGAGAAGTGGACCAGTCATACACTTGGCTGCTCATCTCAAGAATGCCAAAATCTTCATGAATGGGCCACCCTGGGCCTGCAATCTCAAGGAGGTGGGGCTGACAACTCTGGGTCATGGTCACGTAAGTGAGGTCAAACAGGAGAGGTTGGCCTGATCAATAGATGAGTCAGGACAGGCAAAGAGTATAAAACCTCAGGAGTTCCAGTGCTTCTCACATCGCCAGCATCATCTCTCCTCATTCATCCTACCTGTTGATTTGGGTAAGTGGGGATTTATTGGCTCTCATCTTCCCAGCTAGGCTTCAGTGGCTGGGGACTCTCTCTACTTTGGGAGTTGGTTAGTTTGGTGTACCAAGTTTCAAATTCAGCATATCGTAAAAGAGATGCCTGAGATGTAGGAGATACTTGTCCAAAGGACCACCTGGATCTTCCTCCCTATGCCCAGACAAGGCCAAGAAAGGCCCTGCCTCTATTAGTAACTAGCCATTGTGTTGTGGCCTCACTCAGTGGAACAGGTCAAGAGTTTGAATTCAAGACGTTGAAAAAAAAAAACAGGTTGTAAGAATCCTCTGGTACCCCAACACATTTCCCTAGATTGTGCTGGAAATGGTAAAATTCCCCTTCCTAAGTAGAGATTTTTGGTAATTTTCTATTTGAACTCAGAGAATCAGTGTTGGGAGTGAAACAAGCCTGAGAAACAAATATTCAAACTGCTCCATTTTATGAAGATGAGAAGCAGCAAGAGTGTTGTGATCTGCTCTAAAAAACACACCCTTGAGTCAGGCAGAGCTTGGAGAGAGGGTAGGTGCTACTAACTTGGCTATTCCAACGTGGCCAAGGCTTTCTGAAAGAGTAATTAACTCTTTGCCAAAAGTAGTAACCCATCTGAAAGTTGGGGCGTCTGAAAGGTAGAGCCTAACCAAGCAGGCTGCTCTCAGAGCAGAGAGGCTGTTACCATGGATACTGCCTACCATTCACAGCACCCTCGTGTGGCTAGCCCAGTAATGCTTTTCTGCTCTCTTTTCAGGGTGTCCTTCCTCCTTAGCAAGATGTCTCACCAGAAAAAGCAGCCTACCCCCTACCCTCCAGTGGTTTGCAAGACCTCTGGTGGTGGAGGTGGTGGTGGAGGTGGTTCCAGCTGCGGTGGCGGCGGCGGCGGCGGCGGCAGCTCTAGCTGTGGAGGAGGCTACTCCGGCGGCGGTTCCAGCTGTGGCGGGGGTTACTCCGGCGGCGGCTCGAGCTGCGGCGGCTACTCAGGGGGCGGCTCCTCCGGAGGCGGCTCCAGCTGTGGAGGTGGCGGTAGCTCGGGAGGAGGTATCAAGTATTCCGGAGGCAGCGGCGGCGGCTCCAGCTGCGGTGGCGGCTACTCCGGCGGCGGTTCCAGCTGTGGTGGCTACTCAGGGGGCGGCTCCTCCGGAGGCGGCTCCAGCTGTGGCGGGGGTTACTCCGGCGGCGGCTCCAGCTGTGGCGGCTACTCAGGGGGCGGCTCCTCCGGAGGCGGCTCCAGCTGTGGAGGTGGCGGTAGCTCCGGAGGAGGCATTAAATACTCCGGAGGCAGCGGCGGCGGTTCCAGCTGCGGCGGCGGCTCCTCCAGCGGCGGCTCCGGCCAGCACTACCACTGCCACAGCTCCGGCGGCGGCTCCTCCGGGGGCGCTTCAGGTTGTGGAGGCGGCTCTTCTGGGGGCAGCGGCGGCTACTCCGGGGGCGGTGGCTCCAACTGCGGCGGCGGCTCCTCCGGGGGCGGGTCTTCCGGCCAGTATTACCAATGCCAGAGCCACGGCGGCAGCTCCTCCGGGGGCGGTTCCGGCTGCGGCGGCGGCTACTCTGGAGGCGGCGGCTCCTCCGGGGGCGGTTCTGGCTGCGGCGGCGGCTACTCTGGAGGAGGCGGCGGCGGCGGCGGCGCTAGCTGCGGCGGGGGCTATTCTGGGGGCGGCGGCGGCTCTGGTGGTCAGAGTTACCAGTGCCAGAGCTACGGCGGCTCCTCCGGGGGCGGTTCCAGCTGCGGCGGCGGCTACTCGGGAGGCGGCGGCTTTGGCTGTGGCGGCTCCTCCGGGGGCGGTGGCTCTAGCTGTGGCGGGGGCTCCTCTGGAGGCAGCGGCAGCTCTGGTGGTCATTACCACCAATGCCAGAGCCACGGCGGCTCTTCCGGAGGCGGTTCCGGTTGCGGCGGCGGCTCCTCCGGGGGCAGCGGCTGCGGCGGGGGCTCCTCCGGGGGCAGCGGCTGCGGCGGGGGCTCCTCCGGGGGCAGCGGCTGCGGCGGGGGCTCCTCCGGGGGCGGGGGTGGCTCCGGCCACGGAGGAGGCTCCTCTAGCGGCGGCTCCTCTGGCGGTGGCAAGGGCGTCCCGATCTGTCACCAGACCCAGCAGAAGCAGGCACCTAGCTGGCCATGCAAATAAGCCCCCCTGGATACTGCGGAGGCAAAACAGCTGGAGATGTTCTCCGTGGGCATCAATGGGCTTAATGTTCTCATGATACTGCTCCAGGTTTCCAAATTTTTCGTGTCTCTACCTACCTAGAAGAAGCCATGGGAGTTCTTAGACTGCATCTCATTCTGCAGTTTTTCCTTCTTGGTTTCTGTATGACTACCTCCCAATTCCAGTGCCTTTTCAATCAATAAATTATGCAATTCATGAGAATCTCTGAATCTGTAGCCGTTTTTGTAGCTTAAAATTAATCTGTTCCATTCTGTCTTAACCTTTTTTTCCATTCATTTGTCCACTGTGTCGTTAATAATCTCTTGAGGCAATGTCAAGTGACAGAAGTTGGCAATGGGAAATGGCTAGTGAACAATGACTAAAAGTCTGCTTTAAGACTTGAAACCATGAAATGGTCCCCAAAGGAGGATCTGATTAAAGTACCTTACTAAACTGCCTCCAAGAAGTTGGTAGCCAAGGAGGATGGGGAGGGGATCTGTTCTTTGAGCTCAAATCTTTTAAAAGGTTGTCTTGGAAAGATGGTCTGTCTCATAGTCCAGCGCTTATGTAGGGTTTAAAAACAAAGTGATTATCCATTGAGAACTATGCTCTTTCCTATGCTACCCAAGCTTACAAGAGAAAGAAAAAATATATTGAGTATTCATGAGTCTCTCAAATGTGTGAGGCACCTTAATAGGTAGTTGCAAAGACAGAAGGAAGTAGGGAACCTAGTCCCGTCCCTCTCGGAAAAGTGTCAGATAATTTAGGAAGATGCAGCATAAATGTGTGAGATACAGTTACCAGAAAGTCCATGAGAAAAGAGAAGACTTTCTAATCAGCAAGGAAGAAGCTACAGGTGCTCCAAGAATGTGGTAATTGCATAGCTCTCAATAGAGATATAGACCATTAGACCAGATCCTCTTCTGCATTCTAGTTTTACCAGCTTTAGATAAATGTTAATTTATTGATTTTCTTAAAGCAAAACACCAATAAGCCAAGGTCCCCTCCCTACCTAGTCACTGCTACCAACTGAAAAGTTCTACCACAGAATCACCCACCACCACCTTCATCATTTTATATTAGAAATTTACAGAGATAAAAACAGCTGGCTTAACAATGCACTTGCTGCATTATTTTTATATTAGCTTTTAAACGAATGAGACTCAAGTCTAGAGAAAATGGATTACATGCATTTCATCCTATAGCTTCTATGAATTAGAGCTAAACTATCAAATCATAATATATAGAACACACAAGACTTAGAAAAAGAATCAGAATTGCTGGAGCCTTCAGAATGAAAAGAGTGGCAACTAAATTGCTTAAAATTTTTTGCCTACTAGAATGCTCCCAGATTGAGCATTAGAAAGCATCTAGCCAAGAAATGCTGACAGATGCAGAAAAAAAGTAAACCCCCTCTTCCTTTCTCTATCCAAAGGATCCAGAAAGAGCATAGTAAGACTGACAATTCTTTGACAGCATCTACCCTATTTCAACTACCACGGAGAAGAAATGAACAGGAATTTTGAGTTTTTACCATTAAAGCATGAACTTACTCTGTGTGCTAAGGCGATGGTACACTTCCCCCACACAGTGGTGTGGTATAAGCAGAGGTCTACAATAATAGAGGATTAAAAGTTAACTATACACACAATCACTTGTCAAGAACATAGAAAATCTTGCATTTAATGAAAAAAAAACCAATCAATAGATTCCAGCACATATTTTGGAATTACCTGTCGAGATGTTTAAAGAAACTTATTTTTTAAAAAAAAGCTACATTAAGAAACTACAAAAGCACTTTAAAAAATCCAAAAATAGAAGATATAAAAATATGGAAATTTTAGATGAAATATAATAACCTATTATAGAACTGAAATTTATAACTATCAAAAACTCACTGAATAGCCTCAGTAAAAAGATGATGGAGAAAAACTCAAAAAGGTTAATTGATCAATAGACTGGAAAAACTAAGAGATTCAACAATCTGTAAGAAAACGAAAGATTTGGCATTTGTATCAGAATCCCAGAAGTAAAACAAGAGTGTGAGACTGAAATATTAAAAGATATAATGGATGATAGTACTACAAACACAATGCAAAAAAAGTTTTTAAAGAAGTTGGTGAGTAAATCTTCAAATTTGAAAAGATTCATAAAGACAAGACATCTCTTATCACAAGTCATAAAGGCCAGGAAAAAAAAAAAAACATTTTTCAAGTGATAAAAGAGAACTGACGCAAATACTATAATCCAGTAAAACTATCCTGCAAGAATGAAGATAAAACAAAGATATTTCTTATGAAAGAAAACAAATACATTTATTGCTAGCAGATCCATCTCAATATAATGGCTAAAGGAAGTTCCTCTAAGAAAAAAGAAATGATAAAAAAAAGCCATGTGGCACATCAGGAATAATGAGAGGGACATGAGGAGAAGATCAACATGGCCAGTTTGGGTACAACAACAAGCAAGATGAAGTATGGACTGTTCACTGGAGGAGGCAAGTATCCTGATGCCTGAGGTAAGGGCTACAGAGAAAGTCAGATACAAGAGAGCAAGTGGAAAGAGAAAATCATTGGACAAACTCCAGTATCACGAGAAATTGAAAGGAGAAATTGCTCCTGGATCTAGGCACCCCTTGCACTGCAGGGCCAGGATACAGCCATCTCAAGAGAAAATTAGCCTATCTGAGGGAGGGTCCTGGCATTTTATAGGTTGCTTGGCAATTGGAATGGGCTCACAATCACTCTGTATAACCTATATACCAGGAGGAGGATCATTGTAAGTGACATACTTAGAAACCAGTTTCAGAAAGAATGACAGCCAGAGAACTGTGTATGTGAGGATACCAATGGGTACTCTGGAAGTGGAAAACAAATATGCCACTGGGATTAGAGACCTGACTCTGAGTGCTGATAGGTTGTGGCTCAAGAACCCTGTGAGTAATCTCAGTCTGGATTTAGTGGGACATTGGGCAGAGAAGAGCCTTAACCAACCCAGAAATAATTAATCACTTGTCCTTATCCTGTACACCAGAAATTGGAAGCAGAGGGACAAAACGTTACACCTAAGTCAGAGAGCTTCTGGCAATGCACTGCACAAAAAACTGAAGGGAAAGCAGGATTTGCTCTGCAATGAAGGGAGAATAGAAGAGAGCCTCAGAGGAAGTCCACAGAGAACCCTTTAATATGCAAAGCAGACCACATCTTTCACTCTCCAAATTAACTGAGTGAATCAAATCTTGGGCCTGAGACTACAGCCTGTACTTAGCTACGCCCAATACACAGTTTGCAACCAGGAAGCAGAATTAGAGTCATTCAGAGCAGAATCCCCTGCTCCAAGGCATAAAATTAAGCAGAACAAAACGGTAACATGCCTTGGAGGTGTGGAATCAGATTCTGACTGCAACATTAAGAGGGATGTGTGAATATTTTTATTGTATGCTATAGCAACTGTGTGAAGATTTCTGTTTGTTTCCTCGTGTTTGTTTTGGTTTGGTTTCACTTCACTCTTGCTTTCCTCCTCCTCCTCCTCCTCCTCTTTTTTTCTTCTTTCTCTTCCTCTTCTTCTCCTTCTTGTTCCTCTGCTCCTGCTTGTGCTTCTTCTACTTTCTGTTATCATCATCATCATTTCAATTAGATTTTCCTTATTTTGATCTCTCTCTTTTGGTCCTTGTTTCCTATTATGTTTCTTTGTCTTCAGTTTATTATCTTCTTATCCTCTCTTTGTCTCCTTGTGTATAGGAAGTATCTGTATATGCTTTTATGTCTTCTTTTTGTTTGTTTGTTTGTTTTGTTACTGGGAATAAAACTCACAATTTTGTACTTGCAGGCAGACATTGTGCCGCTGAGCTATATTCCCAACACTGAGGTACCTGTATATGAATAAAAGAGAATAAGAACTAACCAATGTTTTAACTTAAATAATCCCTTTCATGAGTTCATTAGTGTAACTCTTACCAAAATTGTGCATAGAAGACACAAACATAACAATACAAACATACTGATAGGTTCCAATACCCTATACCAAAAAAAAAAAAAGAGAGAAAGAAAGCAAGAAAATAAGAAAGAAAGAAAGAAATATAAGAAAATAAGGCAACAAAAGCCTGCCAGAACTCCCAAAATGCCCAGAAAAGATACAACGGGTAACTATGGAGAGCTGGAATGTGCCTGAAGTATATGAAATGATAAAGGAAGAAGCAAAAAAAAAAAAAAAAAAAAAATCTCAAGGAGCTCAAAGATGATATAATGAAGTAGAGTAGAATAATTAATGAAACTGATCTGTGAGCTTAAAGAGTCCAAAAAACAAAAAAAATAGAAAAGCTAACTAAAGCCACTCAAAACATGAATGACAAGTTTGCCAAAGAATTAGACTCCATATAAAGGTAACAAACAAAAATCTTGCATTTAAAGAATTCTATTGAAGATATGAGCAGAAGAAGTGACCGAGGGGAAGAAAACGAAATGAGAATAGTGGGTCTAGAAGACTGGTCTGATAAACAAAATCATGTATGTCAAAAATAAGACACAAGCTGATTCAATAGCTACTACATGATGCAAAGAAGACTCACCAAAAATTAACTGGAGAAAGAAGTCAGAGAACAGCACAAATGGAATAAAAAAATCTGTTTACAGAAATCATGGCAGATAAATTTCCAAGTATTCAACATACAGGTAAGTGAGGCATATAAAATCCCAAAAGGAACTAGGATGGGGGAAAGGAGAAAAGAAGGAAGGAAGGAAGGAAAAAGAGAAAAAAAATGCAAGTTGGTTGTACTATTAGTTTCTCTTAGTTCATGGGAAAGGAAGATTTGCACTAATATGGATTGTAGAATTTTTATGCCCATATCTTGTACTTTGAGTAATTAAAGATAATATGTAATATGTTAATCATTGTTATTCTCTTGTTATGAAATTTTGATTTACCTTTCTTCCATATGTATCAGTCAAGATTTACTAGAGACATAGATATAACACAAGATATACAACTGTGTAAGAAATGACAAGATTACAACGGTCAGCCACAAAGTTGAATAAAGGAGTGTGCAGAGGGTTTCTGCATGCTAGAGGTTGAAGGGTCCAGCCAAAAGTCTGGAGATTACTGCAGTGTCCTGTGCAAATCCATATAACGAGGCCAATGAAGTGTACTATAGAAAGCTGAAGAATCTAAGATGGAAGGCTAAAGATTCTACGACGAAAGCTGAAGGGTCCCAGTCTGTGCTAGAA